TCACATGCCAAACTGCTGTCTCCACGCCCCATCTTTTTCCAAGGCCAGACAGTCAAGAGCTCAGCAAATGGTTTTCAATAATTAATTCTTTAACCCTAATTTTAGGACAAATACTAAAAGCAAGCTCTGCATACAAAACAGGTTCATAAGCTATTAAAACTGGGACAGTCAGCCAGCACAACACAGCAGCATGCATTCACAGCATTCCACATAACCTGGCCCACCACACCTGCTGTTGGAGAAAGTTCTCCTCAAAGGGTAATTCAAATGTGCTTCTCTTTCCGTTAATTACATACAGAGAGCCTACTTTTAATCTCAGTCTGGGTTTTTTGCACAGCCTCCACAGAGTTGTGCAGCATGTGGTGGCATTATGCTGCCTACATTCACATCTTGCAGATGCATTGGTTGCATGTTTTTCTGTAGAAGCACATCACAACCCACACTGTGTTTTGTGTTAGGCTGAGACCATGCTGCTGAAACAAAAACCAACAAAAAAAAAAAAAAAAAAAAAAAAAAGGGAAAAAAAAAAAGAAAGAAAAAGCAAAAAAGAAAAAGAAAGAAAGAAAAAGAGAGTGTCACAGACTTTGCAAATGTGCACTACTAGTGTAAAGATCCTTGGCTTTCTTTAAAGCCTGCCAGAAGCAACTGTTTGGCATTGTTTTTCAACAAAATGCTGAATGAGGGAGGAAGTTCAGATTTGACCGCTGAAGATCGCGATGTACAGTTGTGCACCCACAGCATAGGAATGAGTCTTGCATTGAAATGAATGCAGTCAAAGTTCTCCTTGTGTTTCATTTCTCTAATTATTTTCCTAGTTGTACATTCTCTGAGGTAAATACTCCTTAATGTATGCTTAGTGCAGTGATCTCACATGAGCTGCTCCCACTTGTGCTAATACCCCCCCCCCCCCCCCCGAGGCCCGGGGGGGGGGGGTGAAAAAAGGAAGGGGGGGGGGGGGGGTGGGGATATAAGGATTTTGAAGGCGGGGGAAAAAAAAGAATCTGTGAAAAACTGACTGCGTGGTCAGAGTTCAGAGAAAGGAAAAAATTTGGAGTCTGAAGCTCAGGAGATGAAGCAACTCTTCTTAGAGAGCTGGAGGAAGATTTGTGATGTACAGGACTGGTGGCTGCAGTCCCTTGGTGTGCTCAGTGCAGCGCAGAGAAGCTGAGGGGAGCCCTCATGGTGGCTGCAGCTCCTCACAGGGAGGGGTGAGCCTTGTGGGTCCCTTCCAATTTGGGCTATTCTGTATGACTTACCTTAGCTCCTTCGCTGCAACCTGACACCTGGTTATCATTGCACTAGGTGAGACCAGGCCTTCAGCATGGGCAACCAAATCCCATGGAGGACAGGAGAGGAGGGACAAGGCCACAGTGGAAGCGAAATGGTGAAATGTAAAAACAGAAACAGAAACAAAATGAAAACAAGATCAACAACAACAAAAATGACAACACCCAGTGTTTACTTTCTCTGCACAATCAGATGCAATAGATGATGGGAGGCATGAGGAAGCAGGTATGTCAGGGTAAGCTGGTGGAGGCTACAAGTAGAGAGGCCAGGGTAGCACAGCAGAAAGGTGAAAACAAGCCCTGGTTGTGCTCATCCATGTTCCAATTCAGATTTCCCTTGGGAAAGGGAAGAAGTAAGACCATGTCCAAAGATGATCTCCAAGACTTTCTCCATTCGTCCCCAGCCCCCTTGGCCTGTGGCAGGCCTGTTCCAGGGGCACCTCCAAGATAACTACAGCCATCTTCTGAGCAGCCTGGTCCTGAGCTTTTGTTTTTCAGATGCAAAGAACACTGCAGGCGCAAAGGGCACAAACTTCCTTGACTCTTGGGCAAGCTGATGGATGTGGGTGCTTTGGGAATAAATGCAAGCCTAGTAGGAGCCAACATTTTTCATCTCATATTCCACAACATGATAGTTTGCTGCCACTGTGTAAGAGGTTGGTAGATATGCATTTATTAGTCCAGCATCATCTCTAGTTATTGGAAATACAGATGTTTTCACAACAGTTTTACTACATTTTTCTTAAAGAAAAAGAAAACCAAAAAAGAAAGGCCTGTACCATCCAGGATATACACAAGCCTGCCAAACAAATGGGATTCCTTTTGGTTAGAATTACAAATCCCTCCAGAGAGGGAAGCCTAGCAAATCAGCTGAAAAAAAAAAAAAAAAAAGAGGGAGACTGAAAGTGATCAGCAGATTCTGCTTATTCTTCCTCAGGGCAGTAGGTGTACACTTCACTAACTTGTAGAAATCACTGTCATAGTATATCCAAATATCCCAGAATGATGATCAATAAAACTTCCTTCAACCCAGCACTGGAGAAAAGGCTCCAAAGGGTGATTTAAGACCAAGAAACCAATTTTAGGTTGCTCTGAACTAGCCTGTAGAAGCCAAGAACTCTGTCCTTTAGAAAAGCTGCATCATGAGAGGATCTTGTGAGAGTGAGTGACAATTATCCCATATCACAGTGCACCTTAAGCCAATCACTATGAGAGCTTGCCTTTCTTCTTTGTTGAGTAGTGGATGAAGGGATGTTACCTCTTTTGAAATCTATGCTACTGACCACACTGAATTTCAGAATGTGAGTTGTAAGCCAAGAAATTCATTATTTCCTTCCATCCTACTCCACCAACATAAAGTGAGAGATAACAATGCATCACAGACTCTCTGAGTAAATATGCCTCATATCTTTAGATCATATCTATCTAACACGTTACTTGGGAATCTCAGGGGAAGAAAGATTCCACCAGGGAAACACTTGTTAAAAAAGATTAGAAGTCTTCATTTTTGCAGCTCTTGAGATCTTTAAACAACCTGGCTTAAGATTTTTAGCACCATAGAACATCAAAAAAAGTTAGTCCCTTGGGCTGCAGACATTCTGTGTCATCCACAGAGGAGAAACAGAAATTGATGGTGACAGGCTGGGATTCAGCATTTCCCTTTGAGAATGCTAAAGGACTTATATTCCGTTCTAGATCCTGATTTAGAAAAGCTTTTACATCTAATCTTAACACCAATTATCTGAAGGTCTGCTTTATTTGTAAAGCTTACTATAATTTGTATTGCAGGCCAGCGGAGAGAGAGCTTTAGGTCTATCCAGCAGATTCTGAGTGCCACACTGCTAAAATGCCAAAAGAGAGATTTTGGTGGGATTGTTGCTCATTCAAAAGGAAGTATGAGGTCATACAAACCAAGGTCAATGCTGGATAGTTTGTGACTACAAAACTGCTTTCTTCTGCTAGACTGAAAGATAATTAAGCGTTTACTATTTGGAGAGGATCTTTTTCCAGTTTAAGTAAATTTTGTAGCTGGATTTCCTGGTGTGCACACTATTGACATCTTTCTCAATTATGAAACAAGTGAAAATGTGCCTTTCCAGTGATGTGAAGAACTTCATAACAGTGTCATCATAAAAATTATTCTCCCTCATATGAATGACTTGAGATGTTGCCATTGTGCAGCTCTTGTGGAAATGGACTTCACAGATTGAAAGGAGTGAAAGCTGCAACAGCTTGTACAAAAGTACAAATCTGCAAAGTGATATCCAGTATCACTAAGCTTTTTCCTTGTGCCTCCTATTTTATGATGTTGGTCCATGATGTCAGAGCAGATGTGGGTGGTATGGCAGTATAGGTTGAACCTTCTCACCAATATCCCATGTGACAGATGGCAGTGCAGGGGCAGTCTGAGTGAATGCCGTCTGACACGGAAGTGCAGATGAAGCAAAGGTTTGGAATTTAATTCCTCCATGTGGAAAAATGGCACCCATTGACATTCATCAATGCTTGGTGAACACTTGTGGAGACCAAACAGTGAGTGTGAGCACAGTGGGGTGGTGGGAGGTGTGTTTCAGCAGTGGCAACAGAGACACTGGGTCACCTCCGCTGGAGCAGATTTTTATGAGCACAGCATGCAGGCTTTTATTCATTGCTGGCAAAAATGCATAGCTAATAGGGATGAGTAACCCCTATTTAAAAAAAAAAAAAAAAAACAAAAACAAAAACAAAGACACTGAAAAACAGTGTTTTGTGACTGAGAATTTGCTTTATCAAATAATGTTATTGTACTCTTTGTATCTGTTTCCATGGAAATAAATAGGAGGCATTGCTTTTGGAGCAACTTATATTATTCAGGTCTTGTATGAACAGGTAGGAAGTTTGCTTAAGCTTGTTTTCTTGAGCTTTTTGAAGATTTTTCAGCACCATCTGACTCTCAGTTTTATTCCTGACCTTTCAAGCACACAGTTCCATGTTTATATATTATACAAAAATTAATCCATCATCAGAAAGGCAAGAAGGCAAGTGAGATTGAGGCCAGCCCTATTTCTGTGGAGTGGAGACATTTGTGTGCTCTGCTTATTTTAGCAGAAGATAGTGGGTAAATCTGAGCCAGCATGTTTTTCATTCAATCTGTCCCTGGACACTAACAGATGGTGCTTTCCTGTGCCAAGTACTAATGCACTTTACATTGGCATTCAGTGTCAGGACACAAAGCCCGCCAAGTCCCTGCCAAATCTGCTGATGCCAGGGAAATTGATAATAAACAACTAGCCAGGGACACAGTCCCAATTTTTTCCCTACATCCTAAGCAGCACACAAGCTGTACCAGTGTAATGATGTCAGCTGTTCTTCAGCTTGTGGATGTCAGTGCAGCAAATGAGGATCCTGGACTAGGGAAGAAAGGAGTCCTGTGGTTATGAATAGGCATGTATCTGAAGACAGGAAGAGATCCATTTGCTTCAAAGGGACTAGCTATGCGATTGACACTGGGCCCTAAGAATCCTGATGAACTTGTGCTGTGATGCACAGACATCTGAGCTACTAAAGTACACATACATACATCTACCATCCAGTAGTGTGGTTCTACTGCTTAGCACCTTAGACTGAGCACTGAAAATACTAAAGTCAGTCCTTCATGTCTAATTTCAATCCTACATACAATAAGGCAACTTTCAAAATAAAAATAAAATAAAATCCATAGATTTCTCTGAGGAGTTCACTTTGTTTCACAGTTGTTGCATTTATTCTTTGAATACAAGCATCCAAAATTCTTTAGCTGTAAAATTCCTGTTCCTTTCCACCAGCTTCCTCAGCGCCCAGGCTTCCTTCTTGGACTGCTCAAAACTTGCTATCCACATCTCTTGGAGGGAGGTCTGGCTGGGATTTGAAGAGGAGAACCTGAAAGCCTCAGGTTTGGGGCAGTTCAGATGTTTAACCTGAGCACTCCACCTCTGGGGCAGCCATCCCTGGCAACGCAGAGAAATAAAAGGAATGGGTTATTCAAGGACCCTGGCAGACAGAGAAGACTAACTACCATTAGTGAATTATTAAAGCATGTCAGTGACATTCACCCTTCCACCACAGGCCCTAGCCATGCCCCTGCAGATGGCTGAGTGGAAACTCTCCCTGAGGTGCCCAGAACAAGGGCAATTAGGCTGACAAGAGCCAGACTCTCAGATCAAATCTGGTTACAAACAAGCAGCATCAGCTAAGCGAACTTGAAAGACAAGGAGCTCTACTTTCGTCATTATAATCAATTTTCATCTTAAATACGCACACATTTCGTAAGATTTTTTTTGAAAGAGAATTAAAAACAAGCTATAAATTTGATCAGGAGAGCAGACTGGTCTTCATAGTCTGCTTCACTGAAGAGCCACCAAAGTAGGGGAAAGAAATCTCTGCATTTCATCCATTTTATATCTTTCCATATTCGTATTTCATGCTTAAAGAGTGGACATCTGCATAAATTTACACTAGATTAGCTAGAAAAGTCTTGTTAAATGTAATGCTTGCTCGTTCGCACTTCCCATTTCAGTTCACCCAAATAATTTCACATGCCTTCTTCATCTCTCCTCTTCTAGCTGACTAGTTACCATACAGCTCAGATTGTCACCACCACATATTTGGCCTAATGAGTATAGGAGAGCTGTAGGGCACTACAGATGTTCACTGGCTGCATTACTGGGCACTGAAAGTTTTTTTCATCTATTCTGATAACTGTGCTCATTAACAGCTTTAAAAAATGATGAAAACATACCTTTTCTTCTCTTCTGATGTTTTCCCACACTCTGTTACACACCATGCACTCAAATGTGTCAATGTAATTGTCCTGAGTGATATCTTGCACTCCCCATTTGCGTTCCTTCATTGCTGTAAGCAGCCTTGGATTGGAAATGTCTCCTTTCAGTTTCCATTCCAGGTAGGCCTCATACTCCTGGTCATTTTGATCCAGTGTTTTGATATAGTGGGCCAGCTCTCGAGGGTGTGAAAAACTAGATACCAAGATTGCACTCTTGTTGCTGGGAAGCCAGTCTATAATGCTGGGAGAACCAAAGTACACAGGTACCACTCCCAGCATCAGAGGCCGCCAAAGTTTTTCAGTGATATAATCTTCACAGATAGCATTTTCAAAAGCAAGAATGAACTTGTACTGAGCCAGTATTTTATAGAAGTTCCCATCATCCATGGCAGACGGATTTCTGAGATACTGAGGGAGGTCTCTGTTATGCAGACATTCTCCATAAGAGTCTACTTCAATGTGGCACATCAACTCACGTACATAGCTGTCCCGGTCAGAAGGAGCATTGCAGTCAGTCTGCACATACACAAGTGGTGCAAGCCGCTTCCTCAGGCTGTTCTTCATCTGCACTGGGATCATATGTCTCAGGGACGTGAGGACCTCTATGCTCTCAAGGTACTGAGTGGTCAGCGGTAGGTGAGAATGACGGCTGAAAGTTGCAGTGTGGTTAAATAAGGTGATAGCTGGTTCATGGAAAAGTTTGTAGTTGTTTTTTGGTGACTCCTCGTGGAAAAGGGCCCAATCATGATGGCCTTTTCGAGGAAGGGGTAGGCTGTCTATACTGAAATCAGTACCTAGACAAAAGCAAATGGTGTTTAGTCTGGCCTTTATCATGTCACACTGAAGGACAGTACATAGAAACCCAGTTTTCATTTAATATCAGCCCTACAACACTGTGTTTATGAGATTATAAGGCAGCACCACCAAAAGACTGTTTAATTCAATGACAGAGGAGTGTTATGACAGAGAGAAGTAAATTTGGCAGCAGCAGAATCTAGAGACTAGGGATTGGTAGTTAACATTAGAAGTGATTTATTTTCAGATCATATTAGTTTAAAAGCCTCTCATTTCAAAGCCACGCTAAATTTCATATTTTACTGCACAGAAGGGAGACTAATAATATGCTTAATAATTCTCTGTCTATGTAAATAGGAGAAGCCTTTATCTAAGATGAAAGGAAAATGGCCACTACAGGGATGAATTTGGTTCTAGCACCAAAGTAACAAAAAAGATGCTAAAACATTGGACACGGTTATGCACAAGGATTGGACAAATAACCTGACACGCTGGAAAGATATTGTATTATACATTTTGGAAGACAATCGACTTGGTTTATCAAAGAGAGAACCAACAGATGATATTTCACAGCTGACTACCAGATACATGAGGGAATAACCTCTGGCAGAAGACTAAATCTGATGTCAGAATTAGAGGAAGAATCAAGCCTAAACTCAAAAAGCAGACCACTACAGCTGCTTGCACCTTAATGGAAGGACAGTGAACCTCCCAAACAACTCAGGGTGAAAGCTTCAAGTCAAACCTAGAAGCATTTTCTCATGAAAATGTTTTCTCATGAAATTTTTTTCTCATGAAAAACATTTTCTCTGACCAGCCTTCACTGGTCTGTGCAAAACTGAATTCAAAATATCAAATCATGAATCTCAACCTTTCTCTCCCTTCAGTTGCGTTTCCATACAGCTAGCCTTATTTTAAGTTAAGTGCAAAGCTGATGAATCTTTGCCAAGACAGTTCCTCAGAATCTTAACATTATATCTGGTTTTGACTGAAGTACCAGCACTGGTCATCCAAAAGTTTTAATCTGTACTGCCAAGCAAGGCAGTGTAAACCAAAACAAAGATAACAGCTGATTTTGAGGACAAAACAAATCCCCTTTCTTCATAGGTGACACTCTACTATCCCTAACACACTCATGAGCTTTTCTTCTCTGCTCTACACTTGATCTCAAACTGCTGATGATAATAAATAAATAAATAAAGGAGTTAAAAAAATCTAACCTAAACTTTTCATCTAAAAGCTAATACATAAAGAAGGAAAAAAATGTCCAAGGATCAATATGACTGTGCAAACCTGCTAAGATGACTCCAAGAGCGACCTTATAAAATCAACAGAAGACCACACTAAAGTAGTGACGATGGATAATGGGTGCCAAGATAAAAACCTCCTATAGTGCAAGACTTTTCAAAGAGCATCAGTTTTTTCTTTGTTTTGGAGTTGGTTTTTTTAAGGCCACCAATTATGTGACTTTGTTTTCCATTGAAGGCTAGTCCCAAGCTCCAGACACTAAATAGGTGAAGTGCTATGCCACATACCAAAGAAAGAGATATTCATTTCCTTTTTTTTTTTTATATGTGGTAATGATGAAATAAGGAAGAAAAATTAGAATTAATCAAATTCTTGCAGAATTATTCATACAGCCTATCTGGTCTTGGAAACACATTGTTCTGTGAAGCCCAGAAGAGAAGCAGCAATGCATAATGAAATGTACAGTTATTTCTCTTGCAAAGGTGAGGGAGAACGAAAATTCACTGCAAAGGGGAGGGAAGAAAAGAATGACACCAGAAAAGGGATGACACTGATAAAAGGATATCGTGTAAAAAACTTAGTAAACAAAAATAAAATTTGCCAAACAGAAACCAAAAGAAAAATGCTTAGTAAATAAAATCACACCAAAATTACTGATTCTAGTATAACATTTAGCCAATCTCACTTCAGAAAGCAAACAAAAAGTTTTTGAGCATTAAAGAGAAGATAACATCATTATGTTACCCACCTTGTGAAATAAAGGAAATGAACGAGCCTATGAGAGGATAAAGAAAGCACAGCAAGATTGTAATGACAACCAATTTCAACTTCTGAACTAGTAGGAAATCTTAGATTTAGTGATAAAGTGCAGGAAAAAAAAATGAAAGATACTCTCAGGAGGAGTTCTACATCTTTGGAGACATCTTTCACTCACAATTCACATCCCAAAGACCCAACTCTCCAGCACAGAAGAGCTGGGCATGTCCTTCTACTGCTGATGCAATTTTTCTCAGGAGGAATTCAGCATTGGTACAAGCAAAACTCTGTGAGCATGCTATGTTGAAAAAGTAAGGTTTGGAATCCCTCCCCAGAATACAGACAAAACCCAGCAAGCGATTGTCACATCTCAGATTCCAGAAGAGAGACTTGACAAAGTCATCCTCCACACCCACAGGTTTCCCAGGGCAGGACAGTAAGTAGAGATAAGCTGCAGAAAAGCAGCTGTTACTAGCAGTGCAGTTCTGGTGAGAAACATCTGCACCCCATTTGGCATAATATTCTTTTCATTCTGTCAAACATTCATTTTTTGACAAGTTCACTGACCAAATGTTAGGAGGGAATGAATGAACTTCTTTGGAATGTAAAGCTGTGCCCTAATCTGATCTTAGCATGGGTATGCAGATGTTCAAGGTTTCTTTCACTCAGTAGGCTGTTCAGTTAGAAATTCTGGAATGTCAAAATCTCCCTTTTTTGCAGGCCCACAGCTAACTGCATCTAAGGAATGAGGGGTGGTATGCTTTTCTGCATTGACACAGCATTATTTAACACCTTCGACCCCTTGTCTTTGCAGATTTTGGCACATTGAGAGTGTTTACTGTAGTCTAAAATCAAGTATCATTTCTGAATATGTTGACACTTTTATATGCAGTTCAAAGAGAGCATCACTAGAAAAACTACAAGAAAGGTCTTTAGTCCAGTAAAAATAATCTTTTAAAAATCAGCAAGTAAATCGTGTCCTGTTACAATAAATCACTGGCTATAAACAGTAATTGTTATTTTAATGCTGAAGCAGGCAAACAAAATCGCTGGCAGAGACCAGAAATACCAGACTTCACAACTTCCATGTGATGCAGACCTAGCTTTCTGTGTATTTAATTGGGTCAGCTTCTCATTCCCTTGCTGTTATTCATTTGCTTTCATGCCTGACCACTATATTATCAGCAGACAATGCTGACCTACTTCAAGCTCTGAAAAGATCACTGATGAGAAGTTTCTGGGTTTACTGTTAACTATTCCACAAAAGGCCCCCCTTTCCCTCTATTTCCAGCTCGCCTGTGTCCTGAACTAGTGAATGAAGATTCAGCACTCTTTTGTTTTGTTTTGTTTCCAGACAAAAGAGCAGAATCTACCAATCACAGAAAATTATTTGTCGTTAGTTTTCCACTTATAATAATAACCCTAAGGTTATTATATGTCTCTGCAATGCTATGAGGAAAAATAACAAAATAAAGACTACTTTTAAATGATGCCTCTTCTGTGTTTTGTTGTTTCAGTGCAAGTAGTGGGAAGTTTCTGAGGCAGCAGAGCCAGAAGAGCTCAGCAGGCTGCCCTAGCTGCCATTCCCTGTGTGGAATCAATACCTTTCTTTCAGTACTTTCCTTTTACAGTCTGCTGGCAATCTCTTGGCACATAAGGCAAGGCAGTTGCACAGTTACCAGCGAGAGCATTATCTTAAGACAAAAGACTTGCACAAGTGCAACAAAGGCCTTGCAAAACTTCTGCTGGAGGTGATAAGCTAGAAGACCAGGAAAAAACAGCCTGATCTCAGACTCCTTTCATGACTTGGCAACTACAGGAAATGATCTTTTCTGCCATAAGCAAGGAACACGTGTGACTGGAAAGTAGCACGAGACAAGGGAACATCCCTTGGTCATCCTGTGGATCATCACTTTTATAAGTACTTTTGCAAAGGTCTCTGGCCCTCTGATAATGGATTCAGCACCAGGCAAAATTCAACAAAGTGAGCTGTGTAAACTTTCTTCTCCTCAATGATTTCCACCTAGAATATTTACTGTCTAAGAGAAAATGACAGGGGGGAAAGTTTCTCCCTTAGAAAGAAACAGCTCCTTACCATAGAACAAAAAAGCTCTCGTCAGCTGACTGTGCTGGTAGGTCTTGTTAACAGTAAAGAAACAAACATCCTCACCACACTGCCCCAATCTCCCTGTCTCTCCAGTCAGAGGAGACCACCAGAGCAGGATGGGGTAGTGATCTGTATCAGGCTCCATCCTGAAGTTGCTGTAAAGTTCCTTCTTCTTAAGCTGGGAAGCATGTCTCTCATTAGGCTTCAGGGGGCCACTGTGTAAGACTGCTGCTGCCTTACTCTCTGAATTGCCCAGTTCAGTGATAACCTTCAGGGGAAAAAAACAAACATATCACAGTGCATCAGTGCTGCTAGCCAGAACATTCGCCTGACACATTTGAGTTTAAGTATCAAGTAGTGAGTAAGCCTCTATAAAATTTCTATCAGCTGAAGAAGTGAATGCACTTCACTGAAGCACTGTCCAGGTGATTTACTTCAGAACAGAGAGAGCTTCAATTTGAATAGGTAAGGAAGGGGAAGTAAATAAATTTCTGTACTGAGATATGGCCATGTCACACACGATTGAACAACATGAATTCTGCTTTTTTTCTCAAAATAAGCCATACAGTAGCTAAGTTTCTTCTAGAAATCATCTGTAAAATTAGGTCTTCATGTGCCCATGCTTCTTTATTTTTAAACCAGTGACTGAATATATCAGATGCAGATGAGTCTTAAAGAAAACTTAACTACAGTTTCATGGCCAGGAAGAAGAAAAAAAATCTGTATGCAGAGATGTAAAAGACTTTCCAGTATACCATCATTTATAGATCAAAAAACCTATGAGGAGCTTTAAAAACCGTCCACTCACAGGAGAAGCCTCCAACAGTGTCTGCCATCAGCCATGGGAGAGAAGTATCAGGCTTCAGCAGTTCTGGTATTTGTGAAAACACCACTCTTTTCTACAGGTAGTAACCACGGAACAAGTGTCCTGAGGTGATCCCACAGGGTACACAGAAGCTGCTGTTAGTCTCTGCAAGGCAGTGACCTTCCTGCTACCATATGGATGGCTTTTTGCACGTGCATCTTCACGGGCAGTGCTTAATGCCACCCCAGGAACAGCTGCAAGAATGATGGAACTCAGACCCACCAGACAGCTTTGGCTCACAGCACTTCCACTTTTTGGATGGCTCTGAAGGAGGATATTGGGAGGAAGGAGAGTATTATTTATATTAAGTTGTTTGAAAACATTTATCTTCCCCGATAGTGTTACTGCATGCATTCATTTTACTGTTTGCTGTCATTCACTCTTACTGTCTAGTAAAATACACTGATTGTAACTGGACTAAATAGACTCTGTGCAACACAGGATGCTGAGACAACACACACAGTCAACTGTGCACAGTGCAGCTGCACAGAGAACACAGAAAACACTCCCACATTGGCAAGTAGACAGGATGCTGGCTGGGGATAAGGCTTATTTGTCTAGGAATTTGGTAAGATGTAAGTGCAGTAATACAACTCAAATAATCCTGTAAGTACGTACACATCACTGCTTCATGTGCACCTCCATGTTAGACGCCATTGTGTCAGAATGCCCCTCTGCTGCCATCTGTTGCACGGCAGCAAAATGTAATGGGATATTGGTGGGAACGTTCAGTCCCTGCTGCTGTACCACCAACATCTGCCACTGACATCATGGGACAACATCATAAAATAGGAGGCATTTGCAAGAGCAGCCCTTGCAATATGCCTCCTCATTCATTTTTTTATTGACCATCTACTGAATTCCCAGTGTTAAGAATGGCCAGTGCTAAGTCAGGCCTGCTGGCCTGCTTACTGATTGCTCAGATTACTGGTTACAGAGCTCACAAAATCCTGGCCAACCTGCCATATCAGCCTGAGATAGGTCCAGCTATATCCCTCTGTCTCACCAGTTAAACACACTGCTTGAGAAGACTGAGAAGGCAGTGCTGGACAGAGGCAATGCACCATGGTGATGCGTGGTACAACACTTCTGAGGAACTCCAAGAGCCAAAGAGTTCCCTACATAATGTCAATTCTAGGGCCAGCTGGCATCACCAGGTCAATCCTGCTGATAGAGTGTCTTCAAACATTCCTCTCTCACAACACTTTTGTTGCTTTTAATGATCCCTCGCATCTTCCAGAACTGTGTCACATTTTGAATATGCCCACATATATACTCCCCCCTGCCCTTGCCCCTATACCTGGAGCATCACCACAAGGAAAAAGAAAGCTGCAAAACAGATGCAAGATGCCCACAGCCTCTTCCTCCTCATCCTGACCATGTTGCACTGTCGGGCCCACAGGATGCCAAGGGCAGTCAGAGTGAGGTGTTAGCAGGACCAGTGTGACTGAAGCCTTCAGCCTTTGCTGCACTGATGTCCCATGCCATCTTTATTCTGCTTCACAGGAGCTACTGGTGAAAAAGAGTACAGCATCAATCATGAGTGCTCCTCGAGTTTGGTGACCAACCTGCTGTCTATCTGCAGCTTTCTGCAGGAATCCAAACACTGTTCTGAGCCTGGTTAACCCTTAGTTAAATCACAAAACAGTCTGCACAAACAGCACTCACACACTGCACTCTGCCTCTGCTCAGACTGGACTTGGCCTCCTCTCAGAGCAGCCTCACATGTTCCCTCACCATGCAGGCAGCACAGAGAGCCGCTGTTGGTTCTACCCTCTGTGAACATGCTTTACTGAGCTTCAGGTGGCAAACTGTGCTGTTTTTCAACAGGCAAGCAACATAAGATCTCCCACCCCTTGACAAGCCTAGGAAATTCTGCTGGAAGAGGCATACAACTTCTGGCTTTGCGACTCACTATAACATTCTTCTGGGTCTTCTGTACCCCAGCATATCACACCAAGTGCACAGAGAAAATAACTACACAGCATATAAACTATCTCCAAATCCAGACACGTCAACGTGTAACAAATTCCCCTTCCCCTGCAATCTACATCTGTGCTAGGTTGCCTGTCCTCAAATGACTCTTCCCCTTCAGTGACACTGTTTATTCATTTTTCACAGATCATTTCGCCATATGTTGGATGTTACTGAGCGAAATTCCTTGCTCCTGACAACTGGAAGAAGTACAAATTCCAATTACAGATTAAAACAAAACAAAACAAAACATAAAAAACCCCACAGGAGAAAGTCAAGACTTTTCTCTCAAGGTACAGGATTCTATTTTGAAATTTGGATATTGTGAATACTCAGAAAGCAGAACAACAATCTATTTTTTAAAAGTAAACTGTTATACTTCTCTTTCAGTGATGTGCATTCTGGAATTTAGCCCTGGCATTTCTTCTGAAGAAGACATATGTGACTGCGTTCCCTCCACATGTGTGTGCCTACCAGCTTCCCCTGCATGCCAACCCCACTGTCAAAACTCCAGAGTAGAGATAGGTCCCACAGCTCCTCACCACCTCCCACCCCTGTGAGGCTGGCATGTAGAAACAGAAGCTGGTCCTGATTCTGCTTCCACTGTAACAGGAGTTTGTCTCTTCCCATCAACCTACAGAGGAGCGTTTTCTGTAAAGCCTCACGTGAAGCCATGCTGGGAAACTTCAGCTCTGCATGGGACCGCTGCTTTCAAAGGTTCAGTGAGGGCACTAAAGAGCACCACTGCCAGGTCAGTGCTTTTGAAATCAGGTGGGATTTTCTGGGCCCTGTTCTTTCGGTGCTTCCTTTGCTACTGCCTAATTGAGGCAAAAGGAGGGAGGGGAAGGAGCTGCACTCCAGCCTCAGTGGTGGTGGTGAAGATCTGCTCGGCCACGCACCTGGAGCACTCCAGCGTCAATAGCAGCGTTCACCTCCCCCTCCGCACTGGAACAGGGCGCTGACGATTTACCGAGAGCCCACGTCTCCCCGCGCCCAGTTACAAATGTAGGGATCTTCTTGATTCTAGGAAGGGGAAATACTGATAGCCCAGATTAAGGCAGAGGGGGCTTGGTTCTTGTACCTGCTCACGCCCTGCCCCGGCCGCAGCGGCACAGACCTCGCAGAACTCCCGCACCTCGAACCATCCCGATGGACTTCAGGGCAGCGCTGGAAACCTCGTCACACCTCCCGACGTCCTGTGCAGAGGGGCAGCCCCCGGCACGCCCTCCCGAACTTTCCACCGCACCCTCTCAACCTTCCCACCGCGCCTCCTGTCGCCCCTCCTGACAGCCCCTGGGCCGTCCCGTCGCGTCCCGCATCACCCCGCGTCGCGTCCCGCTGCAGCCCCGGCCTCCCCGCGCCCTCGGCTCCAGCATCCTCCGCCCGGACGGCCCACAGTTGTACTCACCCGCCTGGTACCCCCGTCGCTGTGCTGTTGGGTTGGGGGCTGTTTTGTTGCGGATCTCTGCTGGAGTTTGCTTTGGTTTGCGAGGTTGTTTCTTTTTTAAAAAAAATTACTTTCAGTTTGAGCGTCTGCTCGGGGCGCGCTGGGAAGCGGAGGCGGCTGCTGGAGAGCGCTGCGCGGGGCCCCGCGGAGGGCGGTGCGGATCCGTGCCTTCCCCGCCCTCCGCCTTCCTTCTCCCCATCACTGAGCACCTCCCCCCCGCCCCCCAGAAGGAATTTGGCTTTTCTCGGAGTCCCGTAGGCTCCAAAAGGACCCTGCGCGCCTCTGCTCCGCGCCCGTCCTGTGCGCTCCTCGCACCGTCCTGTGCTGCAGACATACCCCTCCGCGATGGAAAAAGGAAAATCTGCTCCTGCCGGTTTCCATAGCTGTTTCCAAGCACACCTGCGCTTTTTGTGGCTGGGTTCTTCTTTGTTGTTTTGTTTTTTATATATATGTATATAAAACAAATATATATATATATTTGTTTTTACAAGACTGCCGTTATTTTTGCAGAAGCTCTCTTCAAGAGGACTTGGCTCCCACTGCACCAAGCCAGAGTGCTGTCGGAAAAACAAACGCATCGTGGAAGTTAGGAAACCTTTAAGTGCCTGCTGGCCAGACCAGTCACACAGAGAGAGAACAGCACGGTCCCTGTCCCTCGGGGTCAATGCTGAGGCACACATTCTGAGTTGCACAAACACAGCTGCACCTGTCACAAGCTTGTGCTGCCATCCATCCAGGGCATCCCTGCATGCTGTGCATGGCCACCAGCACCCAACTGGCTGCTAGCCTGCTGCCTACCCTAATCGAGCCTCTATCTCTCTCTATTTAAGTTTTGGCATTTGATATTTAAAGTAAAAGGTACTTGCTCAAAAATGCTGGTTGTCTAGGCTCAGGGCAGAGCCCATGTTTATGTATCCTATGCATACCTACAACCATACATGTGTGTATAATGTGGATCTACCTGACCTGTTTGTTGTCATACGCAAACATATTTGATGTTTCAAGCACTGAAGGAGAAAGTGTACAAGGATGTGAACACAACAGCATAAGAGGCTGGCGATCCTCAGCGCAAGATCTGGAGCTGTTGGAGCAGGCCCCGAGGAGGCCATGAAGATGCTGAGATGGCTTTAGCATCTCTCCAATGAAAAATGGCTGATGGAGCTGGCCTGGTTCAGCCTGGAGAAGAGAAGGCTGTGGGGAGACCTCACTGAGGCCTGTCAGTACCTACAGAGAGTTTATAAGCTGGAAGGAGAGAAACATTCTACGTGGTCTGATAGTGACAGGACAAGAAGGAATGGCTTTAAACTAAATGAGGGGAGATTTGTTAGGCGTCAGGAAGAATTTTTTACTCAGAGGGAGGTGAGGCATTGCTGGCATGGGCTGCCCAGAGAAGTTGTGTGTTCCCCATTCCCAGAAGTGCTCAGGGTCAGGTTGGATGGGTCCCTGCACAGCCTCATCTGGTGGGTGGCAGTGCTGCTCATGGCAGGGGGTTGGGACTGGGTGGGCTTTAAGGGCATTGTCAACCCAAGCCATTCCATTCTTCTATGATTCATTCACTCCTCCTTTCCCCTGGGAGTAAAATCAGAGGGCCTGATGACTTCTGGGCAAGGAGAGGTAGCACAGCCCAGGCATGAAGGGCCAGGGAGCTGCAGGAGGGAGATTACTAGGAGAGCAGAGGGTGGAAAGATCCTAGAGGAGGCAGAGGGAAAGCCTGGCATACCACAATTGAAATGCATGTGGGATATAACTTACCTATGCTAATATGGAGCACACAACACATCTCCTTACACAATGGAGAAGTTGTGTCTGTCATGTTCCAGAAAGGTTGACGAGGTACCCAGATGACAAACAGCAGCCCACCCGGCTGCGCAAGTGATGTTGGCCATGTAGATCTTGCCTCTTTTCCCCTCCCCCCCTTATCCCATCACTGAGCTTGACAGAACACTTTGGAGCAAGGCCCACTTCTTGCATGCACTGCAGCACACAGTTCTGACTTCCCTCAGGGCTATCAGACTCCTCCTAAGACAAAAAATAACAGGTCACTGCAATGCCATGAGCAGTCCATAAACTAAACTGAGCTGCTGGGGCTGGATCAGAAGCCTGTTACAGTAAACAGAAGGGTTTGATTTGATCCCAGAATAACTTGATCTGATCCATCATTTTAAAACACAGTTATACTGAAGGCTTTCATGCTCCCTCATCTTGCATACTCCTAAATTGCTCTCATTAAGGCACAACTTCTCTGTAATCCATTTCAGCCTCCAGGCAGGAGACTTGTTACTGCCCTCAGTTACTGCCCATCCTATCCTTAGACGCGGTGCACAAACTCCAGCAGTCCACAACTCAGTCTGAAAGGACAGAAGATGGTCCAGAGGACAGTGAGGTGGTCATTACATGCTGCCAGCCCAGCACCTGAATCAGCAAAATCTCGCACCAGTTTCATCCCCCGGCTGGCAGCTGAGAAATTCACTCTTGGTTCTTGTCCTGACACGCCGCCTCGAGGCAACAAGCACCTCTTGCAAGATCTCTCTTGTAACCTACCTTAAACAGACTGAGAAGGCCACGCCAGCGTAAACCACGGCAGGGGCACGGGCAGGGGCAGGGGAAGGGGCAGGGACAGGGGTAGGGACAGGGGCAGGGACAGGGGCAGGGGCAGGGATAGGGGTAGGGGCAGGGGTAGGGGCAGGGG